GGCAGGGCGCCGATCAGTTACCGGGGCTTTGTTTACCATGCATTCATTAATCGAAGGTGATAAATAGTCGGTATTGGTCCTATCAGTACGGTAATTGTCCAGCCGGTACAGTAAAGCACCGGCCGGTACGGTAACGCAACGGTCGGTACGGTAACGCAACGGTCGGTACGGTAACGCAACGGTCGGTACGGTAAAGCAACGACCGGTACGGTAAACCGAGTCAAACTCACAGGAAACCGGCTGGGTGGTAATGATCAGTTCCCTTAAATACTTTAATTTTTGCTAGGAATTTCCGCTATAGCAATGCTTCAGTGAAAATAAAATCCAGGGAATACTAGAATACCTTTTTCTCCTATATTTTACATTCAACTCGCCAAAAATCAGAGAAAATAAATTACATACAAAATGTTTTTTCAGCGAAAATTAATTCCAGCTAAAGTAAAGTATTTTACATTAGTACACAGACTCAGCAGAAAAATTACTGTGAAATACTTTTTTATTCTAAGGCTGGAATTAATTTTTCACTCCAAAAAAATGTTTTGGTGTTTTGTTTAGAGTTTATTTTCACTGATTCTTGACGAGTGAAATATAGGAAAAAAGATATACTGTGGAATACTTTATTTTCGCTGGAATTAATTTTCGCTGAAAAGGCTTTTTGGGCATTTTGTATGGAATTTATTTTCACTGATTTTTGATGAGTTTAATGTGAAATATAGGAAAAAAAGTATATTCGCTGGATTTTATTTTCACGGAATCATCCCTTCAGCGAAAATAGCGAAAATAAAGTATTCTACAGTATTTGGTGTTCAACCTCATCAGGTTCAACCTCAGGTACAATTTTAAAGTCAGACACACCAACTACCTGTACTACACACCAGTGTATAGTGTGTTTATTAATTCGATGATACATACCTCATCATAGCTACCGTCTCTGCACAATAAATGAAGAATCTGTAAACGTACAGCCTCTATACAGTATGTATCTTGTGATAACGCCCTGTGTAGATAAAGTTGAGAGAAGCAAGGAGATAAAAACTTAGTGGTTTATGTTGGTAGATGAGGGGCATTTGCACCATATTACTGTAAAATATTTTAATTAACTGTAATTAATTTTCACAGATTTTTGATGATGAGTTGCATGTAAATTACATAAAAAAAAGATATAATCGCTGGATTTTATTTTCACGGAATCATCCCTTCAGCGAATATAGCAAAAAATATTTATAAGCAAAAATAAAGTACTTTAAAGTACTCTGGGAAAAAATTATTATAATTTTAACAATGTTTGAAACCCCAACCATACCAAAGCTTATCAAAACCCTTAAAATATACAAACCCTTACAAAACCCCCAAACTCTAGTCGTAGTTATCCCCCAAAACTACATAATTTTGAAGTAATAGTGGCTGAAGTGAATTACCAAAGGAACAAACAAAACTGCTGTGATAGCAGATTTTTTCATTTGTTTATTTTGTTTATTTTATTTATAAAATGTTAATTCCATAACTACATTGTATAGTATGAGGTTTTTAAAGGTAGGATTTTCAGCTGCGTTATTTAAGATTACGAGTTCTTAGGGGTTTTCAAACTACTCACCTCTGCGCAGTTTCCATAGTCTGTTCCCAGTCTTGCAATGCCAACTGTAACCTCATTTTCTCTATCAGCGCTGGCATAAACCCTGGATACGCAACCACGGCTTGATTGATCAACTCCAGGGCGCCAGTATAGTTATGGCGTAAAACATAGAATTTAGCTTTACCAAACAACCCTTCTACTTCTTTGTTAGAAATCCTAGATAGATACAAATAACATGATGCGATTATGAGAATGAGGTAAAACATACACAACATCAACAGTAAATGCATTGTGAATGGTATCACAGAAATACAGACGGTTAGGTTTTCCGATAATGATACAATCACAACCTGTATACCATTTATTCCAAAATGACAGCGGTAGAAAAATGTTGACTGGAACAGGAACGTGGTAAAAAACAGAAATTGAACTGTACGAGAGCAGAAGTTAAACAAACACTGATTGGTCAATAGCAACCATGCGCGAACGTAGATTGACCCTAATTAACATAATTTATGCATTTCACTTGGATATCGGCAGTATCACCGTAACATCGAATATAACAATAATAACTCTGAAATTAATAACGATATTAATGTTCGCGACATGCATTGACCGGTATATATTTGAGTAGAAGTGTATGTGATGCGTACTGCCCTCAGAGGTATAGCCAGGTATTATGCATATGTCTGAAATGAAAGATACATGTACCAGTATCAAGTTGTAACCACAAACATACAATAATTTTTTGTGTGGAATATTTATGGTTATTTTGTGATTTATTTTCAATCATAATTTGACAGGTTTGTAGACATTTTTCCTGTCAAATGAAATAATGTACCTGTCTGAAATGAAAGATACATGTACCAGTATCAAGTTGTAACCACAAACATACAATAATTTTTTGTGTGGAATATTTATGATTATTTTGTGATTTATTTTCAATCATTATTTGACAGGTTTGTAGACATTTCTCCTGTCAAAATGAAATAATGTACCTGTCTGAAATGAAAGATACATGTACCAGTATCAAGTTGTAACAACATACAATAATTTTTTTTGTGGAATATTTATGATTATTTTGTGAATTATTTTCAATCATAATTTGACAGGTTTGTAGACATTTTTCCTGTCAAATGAAATAATGTAACTGTCTGAAATGAAAGATACATGTACCAGTATCAAGTTGTAACCACAAACTTATAATAATTTTTTTTTGTGGAATATTTATGATTATTTTGTGATTTATTTTCAATCATAATTGGACAGGTTTGTAGAAATTTTTCCTGTCAAATGAAATAATGTAACTCTCTGAAATGAAAGATACATGTACCAGTATCAAGTTGTAACCACAAACATACATAATTTTTTTTTTTTTTTGGGGAGGGGGGG